AAAATAATATAAAAATAACCATGATTAAAACACTAAAGGATCTAGTGGATCTAGGAGAATACAAAGAAAAATACACCCAGACACATCACAGTAAACCTGCTGGAAATCAAAAATTAAGAAGAAATCTTGAAGGTAGACAGAAAACAACAAAAACATTACATACAGAACAAATACAAGAACTATAGCAGGACTCTCTTCAGAAACTTTGCAATCCTGAAGGCAAAGGAATGATTTCTTTAAAGTACTGAAAAACTTAGACTTTATCACAATCCCATCAGGTCATTTGAATTTTTGGTGTTTGTGAAGCTAATGGGGACAAAGAAAAATGGTGGCACTATGGGAACAAGAGTAAATGACAGGGCTTAAATCCAAGGAGCTGGGTGGACTTGAGAGCCAAAAGTGACATGGATATGCCTCGTGAAAGCAGACTATCAATAAGCAAGGATCTCAACCCCCAAAAGGGTTTTCCAGAGCCTGACCAGGTCAGTGACTGCATTCTCTAACTCACTTCCAGCATGGTGGGGTTGGTTACAAGCAAAATTTCAGTACCCATGTAAGTAAGCACCTATCCATGGTGTTTCAAAGACACAGAATGAGTGGTGCAGATTTGGTGATAATAGCTAAACTACAAAGGATAGTTCCTATGATTCTATCTATTGTGGTATTAGGAGACAGGGGGAAAAGCGAACAAAGAAAAGAGGACATAAACCTAGCAGGAGGAGCCAAAGCAGCTAAACAACAATTTCATGTTTCTCCTGAGATGCTGGGTTGGAGCAGGAGTAAGTCCTGAGTGGATGGTGGGCAAAGTGTGGCAAGCAGTGTAATTTCAAGCAGTCTTAGCCCTTTCACAATGTCCATCATTTTCCAAAAGCCTCCCCCAGTAAATATACAATCTAATACTACTCCTAGAGATTTCCATTCCTAGGTCCCTCCTATATAAATATTTGGGAATCACAGGGGAGAGGTGTGAGGGGAAAGAGTAAATGTGGAGATTCTACTTGCTCACTCACACTCTTTACATCCTGTGCTAGCTGTTTGCCCACACCATAATTCTCCAAACCCATAAGGAGAAAAGCAAGAGAAAGAGCATGTGTATGTGTTGGGGGGTGAGGTGGGAAATGCTGGAGTTTGACTGATAACAGTCCCTAGGTTGTAAAAACAAAACAAAACAAAACAAAACAAAACAAAACAACAAAAAAACACTGCCTTGTTTAGTGAAGAACAGCCAAGATATAAAGAGGATTTGGATTTTATTTGTTTGTTTATTTATTTTGAGGATTTGGATTTTACAAAGCCACGGGTCAAGCCCTTTATATCTCAGCTCCTATTGCATTACTGGCAATAGCACTTCAAATGAACATACAAAATGAAGTACTAATAGGAGGGAGAAAGGGAAGACATAACTTCCCCTCTGGAATCAGGGATGACTGTCAAGCTTTCTCTTGTGGGCCTCTGCCTCTGAAGATACACATTCTGGTGACCAGAAACCTACTTCCTTCTGCTTACTCTTCTGCTTCAGAAGTCAAAACAGGATAAGCTAACAACTTCCAATCCTCCTATCTACATTCTAGTTGTCTACAATTACTCCAGAAATTACAGTTGTTGAATTGTTTTTCACTTCTAATGCTATTGGGCAAAACTTTTGGATACAATTCTGGTACTTAGGTATGACAATGGAGGATTTACTACAATATCTAGCTAAAGATGGGCTTATCATTCATTCCTTTTAAAGGTTTGAAATATTTTGATTGCATTTAGGTACTGGGATGGATGTTTTAAAAAATACATCTGTTTATCACAGGAAAAAGATTTTAAAAATTATTATGGAAAACCTCCCTACTTTAAGAAGCATGAATTAGTCATATTATCTTCTAAAAGCCCTCTTTAGTTCCAAGGAGACAAAGAAAACTACTGGTCATTAAGTATGTTACATGTATGACTAATATTTATTATACCCGATGTAATAGTTTAGAACAAGCAACCCTGGTAGAGTTGTAATTTTTATGTGTTACATGTATAATTCAGCATAGGCCGAAGCTCTTTTTATAATCAATGTGATCATTTTTTGGAATTTTGGATGAGCCGAGTAGAAAAACATTTGATTAGGTATTTCAAGTCTCAATTTTATTTTAAATTTTTTTTTTCAACATTTATTTATTTTTGGGACAGAGAGAGACAGAGCATGAACGGGGGAGGGGCAGAGAGAGAGGGAGACACAGAATCGGAAACAGGCTCCAGGCTCTGAGCCATCAGCCCAGAGCCTGACGCGGGGCTCGAACCCACGGACCGCGAGATCGTGACCTGGCTGAAGTCGGACGCTTAACCGACTGCGCCACCCAGGCGCCCCACAAGTCTCAATTTTAGATTTGACTATCAAACAATGGCTCAGTCATAAATAAGGAGCTCCATGATGTTCTGCTTCCTCAATTGAGAAGATAGGAAATAAGTGATACACTTTTTAGAGGGAATTCATGCAGTGGATGGGTTAGATCCAGCTGTCTTTAGGGATCCATCTGGCTCTCAAAGTCTGTGACCAGATGACCACTAAGGTTTCTTGTAGCTCAGAAACCAATGTGCTTGGAACATAAATTTTTTCCTATCTTCAACAGGTACATAGGTTACTGGTGTAAATTTTGCTTTTTTAATTCATTGCTGCTGATGTCTATTATTTATAGATGTCAAGTCTTTCATCAGGAATGCAACCCCAATAATAACGTTCTGGAAAAACATTTCGGTTTATAAGGAGTATACTGCAGTAGAAGTACAGCTCATCCATGAAACATTAGAAAATGCTGTCCTCTTAGAAGTAACCTTTACCATCTACACTCTGGTGGTATTGATTTAGAGTCACATTTTAAGATAGCTAGCTGATGCTAGTTCTACATCTCAAATCCAAACAAAAAAATAAACAATCCAAAAGTACATTTTTATTAACAACAAAATGATTAGATGGTACTTTTAAAGTAGGCATTTAAACTCAATGCCTGAAAAACTGATGTGTGACGTTCAATTACATCTGAAGTTTTAAAAATATATCTTAAAAAAATCAAATATGGTGCACTGCAATTTTTTTAAGTTACTTCCTTTATTTTAAAGTGTCAAAAAGCTAAAGATGCACACACATATGCTTATGTGTCTCAGAATTTAAAACTATGCAAAGAATTTATCTGTATGACTAAAAAATGAAGTATTTACACACTTCAGTGTAATGCTTAATACTCATTTTTGAAATCTATTGCTGATGCTATGTTGAAAGAGCAATGACTCAACCAGAAAAATAACAAAGGCTATCTTTTCTTTTCTAAAGTGCTTATTTGCAACCATACCCAAAAGCAATGGTTTTTAGAAATACAGAACATTGAAAGGTGATCAAAGAGTCACTACTTACAGATTCAAATATGCCATTTTGTAACTTTGCATATGTAAACTGGTTTTATCTGCATTAATGAAAGATTGCTTTCAATGGCCCTCAACTATATGCTTCAAATCAAGACAGTGTTATTAGTATCAGCAGCATGAACAATGACAATGACAGAATAAACCCCAGCACATTTTAAATGGATCACAGCCAACTAGAAAAACTGTAACGGCTTTTGGATATGTTATATATCCAAAGATAAGCCTTCTTTTTCAACTCTACATACATAGTAAACATTAAAAAAAATTAAAAACACTTCCTTGCCTCTTTATAGAGCATTTTACTATATATGAAGGGATTAAAATTCTTGTACTATTTAACCTAATTCTTGTTTCTATACAGAGCAGGCTTCACATTCTCAACATTTAGAACAAAGCCTATTGCCACCAAGAAAGCAAGAAGGAATTAACAAATGAAATACCTAACACTAAAAACCTGAGGGAAAAAAACTGTGAACAATTCTGAAATGAAGCTTTTTTCTAGAAAGGTTGATACAAACATCCCAAAATAGAATTTGCTTTCTGATAGTGAAATATCTGACTTCATTTCTATCATATCACATTTAACTGATTTAAATAATTTAGAAAAAAAACAGGCATCTTAACCTAACTGCTTTCTGTATCAGACTCATCTTAACTCATGCCCTCAACATGAACCATTCGACAGTCTTCTCGTGAGCACCCCTCACGTCCCTATTTTCTGAACCTTAAGATTTTTTTACCCCTCCTCTCTCTCCCCTCCAAAAATCTCCATATATCCCAAGAGAATCTCCATTAAAAAAAAAAAATAACAACTTAAATACATATTGTGAGAATGCTACATTTGATTTAAAGTAGTAATAAATTATAAATTGCCAAATAACTTAATGTAATTCACAATGCAAATCCCTGGTAGAAAAAGAATCCATCTTGCCCTGAATATAATACAGCAGTCCAGTGATTTCAAATTATTTAAGAAATAAAGGCAAAAATAAGGTGTTAAATACAACACTATTTATAAAAGTTAAGTAAGAAACCAGTTACCGTAAATCTTTTTACAAAGATAAATGTAATGTGCCTTCCTGCTTCTAAAAATTGTTAGGGAGGTTTCTAACTAGTGGTTTCAAAAATCACTTAAAGTAAACTAGAGATTGAATTACATATTATTTGTAATGTATGACATATTAAATATATATATAAAACAATAATACTGCAATGGTAATTTAAATTAATCTTTGGACCTGCTACTTTTTGGCAAGTATATTTCTTTTTCAAAGTCTTTGCTATAATTAATTAATTTTTAAATGTTAGTTTTCAAAAACTTTGCTACTAAAATACTATATTAATAAGGAGCTACCAGAAGTCTCAAATAGTAATAATATGCCTACAAAACAAAACAAAGATTGTCCTTGCATCTTTTGTTATTGTAACAAATACTCTTTAAAATAGACAACATTACTTGGCCTGGAAATTAAAAATACCCAAACCCTTAAAAAAGGAACAAAAAAGGAAAGAAAAATTGAAAATCCTTATTTAAAAATAAATCTGAAGTCCTTGCATTTCTTAGGAACTTGACTTGTCAAATCAGTTTATCTTCTTTTGGACCAAGCTGCATCTCCTACCATTCACCCATGGAACAGGACGTTACTTCTCCGTTTTGTAGATTTCAGTTTGAATTTTCTTGAATGTTTGCAAAGCTGGTACTGGACTTGAGACGTTTGGCTAGATAAATCAAAAGTATTATATTTTAACTCAAATGTAATTCTCTAAATGTAATTATTCATTATTTTTATGTAAACTATAGTATTCATCTAATAATTCTATGTTTGAATCAGAATAGACTCAATCTTCTAAGAATTAAAACCCAAGTCTATTTTTTTCTACCAACCTCAAAAAACGTAACTTTGCTTGAAGCCACACATGACTTTGTTAGAAGCAGCACCAAATAAAACAGACATAATTTATATCATCTTGAACATCACAATCTCAAATATGTAATATAGGTAAGAGTATTCTACTTAAAAATTGGAAGTGTTACAAGGTACAATAATAAAATTGTATATTTAAAAGTCTAAGTTAGTAGGGTGCCTGGATGGCTCAGTTGGTTAGGCATCCAACTCTTCATTTCAGCTCAGCTCATGGTCTTTTTTCTTTAACATTTATTTATTGAGAGAGAGAGAGAGAGCGTGAACACAGGAGGGTACAGAGAGAGGGGGAGTCAGATTCCAAAGCAGACTCCAGGCTCTGAGCTGTCAGCACAGAGTCCGACATGGGGCTCAAACTCACAAACCGCGAGATCATAACCTGGGCCAAAGTCAGATGCTTAACCAACTGAGCCACACAGGCGCCCCAACAGCTCAGGTCATGATCTCATGGTTCGTGAGTTCAAGCCCTGCATCAGGCTCTGCACTGACAGAGGGATTCTGCTTGGGATTCTCTCTCTCTGCACCTTGCTTGCTCTCTATCAAAAATAAATAAATATGTGGATCCTGAGAAACTTAACAGAAGACC